TCGATCATGTCTTTCACTCCACTATTAAGTCAATATAAATCGAAAACTCATTTTCGACTTATGAGTACACCTTGGCCAAGGATTTCATCATTGACTTAATTGAATGAAACGCAGATCATAATCTCCTACTATCTAAGAGTGACGAATCCTTTATTGATCAATCACAACCTTCATACGATTCTTGACGTACCCGAACGATGTCGTATTAGCGGCCCTTTTCAGAGCAACATCCAACACCGCCAAAGTATGACTGTCCTCATATAAGGTACCATGACGACCTCAAGTCAAAGGACCAATTTCACTACCGAACGTTAGAGATTAACCACCGACACTCAGATAGTTATCCATGTGGAATCTCTCGACGGGTCTCCAATGTTTTGTTCTATAACAAACATCCACGTGTTCATTTAAGTGTCACCACACTTTAACTTGTGAGATCAGCTACTTACTTCACAAGTAAGAAATGCCACACGTGATGGTCTATCCGTAATAACGATATCCGTATCTCGTTATTACTTACGACCACGGATGATTTAAGATTCAATCAGATGTAATTTGTATCTCACAATCACAACTCCTTGTGATTAACAAATTACAAATATTTGAATCTACGGACTCTATTATTTATTTAATTGTCTATTAGTTGATTGGACATAAGGGCATAATACTTACAGTTTATAAACAAGTTTCTAATAAATTTTAATCTCCTTCATTTTGTCAGGCTGGTTCGAGTTGGTTGTTCATTGTTCCAGAAGGGCTTTACAAGCTCTTGGTTCATATGAAAGAAAGATACAGTAATCCCAACATTTACGTCACAGAGAATGGTAAATTCACAGGCATATTGTTAAGACTTTTTTCTACTGCAAGATACTAATGTAACTTAATGGATGATTTTATGAAGGGGTGGATGAATTAAACAATAAAACAACAGTTGCACAAGCTCGGTTTGATGATATGAGGGTTAGATATCACCATGACCACCTTGTTCAACTTAAAAAAGCAATGGAGTAAGTCATCATTCATATAATTATTGAATCGACCTAGACAGTAAATTTGTAAAATGAATTGACTATTCTTGTAACAAAACTAATCTTCATACTTTCGCTTTCATATTCAGCCACGGTGTTCGGGTGAAGGCTTATTATATATGGTCAATGTTCGACAATTTTGAATGGGCTGATGGGTACAGCGTTAGGTTTGGTATCATTCATGTAGATTTTGAGAATAATCAGTTGAAAAGGTTCCCAAAGAGCTCTGCTATATGGTGGACGAATTTCTTGAACGTGAAGAAGGTCAAGAAGCAGGACAAGAAGCTCTTCCTTCTGTTCTGAAATGTTATGTTGAATAATGCGTGTGCTGCAGTTCCTTTTGTTTGCTGTGGGGATCGAAAGCTCGGTTTCTGTAAATGAAAGATTTCGGGTGTGTTCCATTTCTCTTTAGTTTGTCAAATAATGCATGTTTGGAATGCGTCTGTATTTGTATATTGTGTGTACGCTAACGCGCTCTTCATTCTAAGAACATTATTTTCTTCACTTGTTTGTATTTGGTGTAAATGAGTTTAGGTTGTGAAATTGTGTCTTTTTCTTCAGAAGTTTTGTCATTTCAAACGAAAACACCTGTTTGAGCTCCATTATTTCCATCAAAATACATTTTTCAACAATGACTTGTGTTGACACATAAAAAATCAGCTCAAATCGAACGGCCCAAGGAATGAAGCCCAATTGGAGGATCCCCAAATCAGATAGCTCGAAGAACGAAGTCCAATCAAACAATTCAAGATGAAGGCCCAAATAGGGAGGCCCAAGAACGTGGTAACACCATCGCCCAAGTTTGCAAGTCGCCCAAAATCTGAGCGAATGGAGTGCCATGCAGTTGCCCAGAGCTTTTACTCTATTCTCGCCCAAACCTTCGAGTCGCCCAAGGTCTTAGCAAACATAAAGTGTGGTGGTTATCAAGAAGTGTAGTTATCAAAGCAGTTATTAAAGCAGCCCTATCACGTTCCACGATTCAAGGAATTCAATCGAAAACGGTTGAACGACGAAGAATAATGGCAGCAGTTAAAAAAGGCAGTTCCATGACAAGTTGGTCATTACGAGGAAAGTGGGCAGTTGTAGAACGATCAAGCAGTTTTTAGGCGGTTGATCATAAAGAGATCATCCAGGGAGTATAAAAGGAAGAAAAGACATAGAGCAAAGCATCGAATAAAAAACTCTCGAACAGAAAACATGTAATTTTAATTTCCTTAGCTTAGATTTAAACACTTCTTTCAGTAACTCGTGTGCTTGCGCCCTTTGGAGGCATTCTATTTTTAATTTCCAATTGTAAAGTCATCGCCAATAAAAAAACACCCATTTTTTAGACTTTGTCTCAAGAGGTTTGTCCCTTACACAATCGTCTAATCCCTTTTAATTGTTAGCGACGAACCCGCGCGAAACAATTTGGCACGCCCGGTGAGACAGTGGTGTTTGGTGTTGAAAATACAAAAGGTGAAACAATATGCCTCAGAGATCCGATAAGGAAGCAGCAAGTCAGGGAGGAATCCAGTCTGTGATCGAGCGATATGAGGAGCATCATGCCTCTCCACGAACAGATGGACAGAATCAGAGCAGTAACAGTCGTTACGAACCAATGATGGAGTTGAGTCCTCGAACCATGCGTGCATTACTTGGAGAACTCACACAAGACGTCGTTGAACAGGTAAATCTTCGAAGTATTCATAATATGGAAAGATTTACCCAAAATGGGAATGCACACTATGACAACATGGCCAAACAACTAAACACTTTGAACGAAACAATGAATAAGTTAGTAGGCCAAATATGTCAACCGGTTATACCTCTTGCAAATCACTTTCAAACTAGGACAATTGTGGGACATAATCCCTCAGTCCTAAATCCGAACCAAGGGGTAGAACCACTTTCTGGTCCCTCTACTTCAAACCAAGGGGGTACTGCAGTGCCAAATCAGAACAATGGTAGTGGTATGCCTAACTTGGGGGATAATCCAAATATAAGAGACAATGTCCTAAACAATGGACAGAATACCCCACGTGTTAATGAGGGAATAGATGTTCAGGCTAATGGTAATGGCCCTAATCATGGTAACTTTGTTGCCAATCAAGGACCAAACATCAGGCCTCATGCAAATCAATCGGTTAACCAACCTGCAGGAATTCCATATGACCCCAACGTCATGTTAAGGAATCAGATTATGGAAATCGTACAGGATCAAATGGCTTTTGGGGTGCGTCCCGTCATTAGGCTGACTTACACAAAGCCATATCCTGATTGGGTAGACCAAGCATATCCATGGCCTAGAGGGTATAAAGTGTCAGAATTCTCACTGTTTACCGGTTTAGGAGAGGTGTCTACTTTAGAACACATAGGGCGATTCACATTACAAAGTGGAGATGTAACCAATTACCATAAAATGAGGCTTTTCCCTAGTTCATTAACAGGAGTAGCTTTCTCCTGGTTCATCAACTTGCCAGCGAACTCTGTTTAAACATGGCAACAATTGGAATAGTTATTTCACGCTCAGTTTTATAAAACTGAGTCTGAAGTCACTTTGGCTGATTTGGCGAATCTACGTCAAATGTCAAACGAATGGGCAGAAAGTTTTCTCCAAAGGTTCAAGATAGCAAGAAGCAAGTGTTTTGTACCTCTGCCCGAAAAAGAATTTGTCAAAATCGCTCAGGGCTGCTTGAGCTTTGATTTAAAAAAGAAATTCCAGGACAAGGAATTTCCTGACCTTTTCCAGTTGAGTGCGAATGTGATTAGGTATGAACGATTGATAAGAGAGGAAGAACAGATGAAAAATTCTAATAAAGAGACTTATTACAAAGACCCAAATTTTGATGTTCATACCATCAACGACGAGTCATACGATCAGGCCGAAATGTGTTTGGCCGAATTGATCAAAGGAGATACATATACTTGTCCCATAATGGTCAAGCCTAGACCATCGGGTAGAGATGAGCCCATAAAAGATGGAAACATAAAGGCTAGAACGTTCTCGTTCGATGTAACCAAAGCTGACCTTATATTTGATAAATTATATAGGGATAAGCAGATAAAGTTGAGCGATAAGCACAAATTGCCAAACCCTGAACAAATTAAGGGTGAAAAATATTGTAAGTGGCATAATGCATGGTCACATTTGACTAACAATTGCTTGGTTTTTCGTCATGTATTGCAGGATGCCATTGAATCAGGACGAATTACGTTCGACGATAAGAAGAAGATGGCAGTGGATGAAAATCCTTTTCCACAGCCACTTGGAGTGAACATGGTGACCTCTGGTTTCAAAAACAAGTTGCCAAAATTTAAGTTGGTCGTAGATGACGGAGAAGAGGATCCTAGACCACATCCCAGTGTCTTTGAACGAATCAAGGGGAAAGAACCAAAAAAGGACAAAGATGTCCTGTGTGCAAGATGTAAAAGAGAAGTGAATGGAAATACGGAGAAACCAGGGATATGGCAGCATCCCCATCGCCCTACTTTTTTCCCAAACACTCAGCCTAGTAGAGGGCGAGGTACATCATTCTATAGAGGATCGCCTTTTAAGAGGCAGTTCAGGTCAGCAGATAATGGAAGAATATTCAGGCCGCAACCTCGCCGGCCAAATGTATGGCATTCATTCCAGTATAATGCAGGAAGGGCAATACCCTTCGATGAGATGACTAGAACCCAACAAAGACGTTTCCAACGAAACTATGGACGAATGATGAGGCAGCAACAGAGAGTGCCACATCCTAAAGCGCCTAAACTACTCAAGGTAGCCAATCAAAATGTCCTCAAAGATAGTGAAGAGACCGGTACAGATGAATCAATGAAGGAACTGCCAAAAACTTCTTCTGGGAGATCAAAGTTTGAGCGGGACAGAAGGGATGGAGAAGATCCAGATCAGCCCCTTACTATCCAATTCGGTACGTTATCTCCTGTCGTGGCCAATAATTACTTACTGGCCAATGAATTCAAGAATAAAGAAAAAGAAGAAGAAATGGAGGATAACGAAGGAGAGGCTTGCGTGCTGGAATGTGAAGAAGGCCAGACTTCTAGAGATGCCTACAACGATGAAGAAGACGACGGGATGACAGATATTGAAGACGAAATCGACCTAGAAGCAGAAGGAAGAAGGAGAGGAGTATCGCGCAATACTCTGTTGAAACAACTACATCGAGAGGGAGTTCGCGAAGTAGATTTGTTGGGAGAACCATCTGGGCGTCCTTTCGATTTCTACGTACTGTACGGGACACCCAAAAGGAATAAGAGAGTGCCTCGCTCTGAAAAGTATGGATCACCTCCAAGAATAATGCCCCCTCCCACAGGTTGGGTAACTGATGAGGAAGCATTAGAAAAAAGTAAGAAGGAAATTCAGGAAACAGAGGATCAGCGCGATATGCTGCACGTCAACTTATCACAGGGGGATAATTCGACAGAAAACAAGCAAGAAGTAGAAATAGAGGCTACCGAAAAGGTTATTTTTAAATGGCCAGCCATGAAATTGACTAAACACTTGAGGCCATTGTACGTTAAAGCTCTAGTTAACGGCATCCCTGTGGCAAAAGTGCTTGTCGACAATGGAGCAGCTATAAACACCATTCCATCTAGGATGATGAGGAAGTTCGCAAAGACAGAGGGTGACATGATTCCTACAGAAGTCATCCTTACGAGTTTCAATGGAGGAGCAACTTCAGCTAAGGGAGTTATGCCATTGGACATAACTATAGGGACGACTACTAGGACCACAGTCTTCTTTGCAATAGATGGTCCTACTAGTTACAATGTGTTACTAGGAAGAGACTGGATACACGGAGGTCGCTGTATACCCTCATCGCTTCATCAATGCCTGATCTTTTGGAATAACAAAGGCGAAGCAGATGTGGTACAGGCCGATCATAGGCCTTTTGTCGCAGAAGCAAACTCGGTGGAAAAGTTCATGTACGAAGAAAATTATGGACCTGTCAGGGTAGTACAAGATGAGGAAGAAACTCAAGTTGTCTCGCAAAGCGAAGAGCCATTTTCAGTGGACGCATTCACTGAAATGTTCAGACAGATGAGGCCAAACATAGTGGCCCTAGAAGAGCCAGTAATTGGCAAAAGAATAATCAAGGAGTCTTGAATGGATTCTAAGTTACAAACGCAAATGGCCGATATTCAGGCCTTCAAAGCCAAATTGATGGCTTTCAATAAGGAATGCAATAACAAGGCGAAAGAAGAGACAGCCCTAAAAGCGCTGAAGGACAAATTGACAGTATTCGAGTTAGAACAAAGCATTGGCTGAGAAGTCAACAAGGTGGATTGTTTAGAAGAAGAAGTACTTACAAGGGAACTGGACGACGAAGTGATGCGGATCGTCAAACCTGGATACGCTCAAGCACAAGACCCTTTGATCAAAGTAAATATTGGCAATGAAGGAGAAGATCGTCCAACATTCATCAGCCAGATGCTCGATCAAGAGGTTAGTAATAAATTAATCGCTTTGCTAAAGGAGTATAAAGATTGTTTTGCTTGAGAATATGAAAAAATGCCTGGTTTAGATAGAGACTTGGTGGAACATAGGTTACCAACTAAGCCTAATTTTAAACCTCATAGGCAGCCTCCTAGACGTT